ACCAGTAAAAGTCTAATGGAGTAGCCCATGCTGAAGACAGAATCTCAGAGCTGGAAGACAGAGTGGCCAGCCTTGAACATTCAGACAGCATTAAAGAAAAGAAGGAACCATAATCAGAATATAAACTCCAAGACAACGTTATGAGACCAAATTTAAGACTCACTGAAATTGAGAAGGGCTTTGACATGCAGGCTAATGGAATGGCTAACCTCTTCAGGAAAATAATAAAAGAGGGGCTGGGGCTGTAGCTCAGTGGTAAAGCACTTGCCTCACATGTGTGAAGCACTGGGTTTGATCCTCAGCACAACATAAAAATAAATAAATAAAGGTATTGTGTCCAACTACAACTAAAAAATAAATATTAAAAAAAATTTTAAAAAATCATTTCTGATTTCTCCGTACAAATTCAAAGGACTTGTGTTCCAAGTCCTGAAAGAAAGAAACTGACAACCAAGACTGCTATATCCAACAAAGTTATCTTTCAAAATCAAAGAAGAGGAGAAAACCTTCCAAGATTAGCAGAAACTAAAAGAATTCATAGTTATTAAACTGGCACTACAGAACTTACTTAAGAAATATTCCAACAGAAGAAACCAAAAACAAAACCCCAGAGGCCACAAATGAACAAATCTCATTTGAAGAGTAGCTAAGCAAATGAGAAACAGAACCACATTAAACATTAGACATAAGTCAAAATGGCACGAATTATTACACATCTCTCTTAATAACATTGAATGTAAGTGGTCTCAACTCTCCAACTAAAAGATATAGGCTGGGAATTAAAACACAAGACCTAACTATATGTTGTTTGCAAGAGCCACACCTTGCAGCAGGCAAAGACAGCCACAGGCTGAAAGTGAATAGATAGGAGGACATTATTAAAATGGCCATTTTACCCAAAGCAATATACAGATTCAATGCAATCTTCATCAAAATACCAATGACATTCTTCACAGAACTAGAAAACAGTTCTGAAATTCATTTGGAAGAATAAAAGACCCAAAATAGCCAAAGCAAATCTAAGACAAAAAAGCAATACTGGAGGCACCACAATCTCTGACTTCAAATTATACTACAGAGCTATAGTAACAAAAACAGTATGTACTGGCCTAAAAACAGACATAGAGACCAACAGAACATAACTGAAGACCCACAGACAAACCCACACAGAGTCATCTGATCCTTGACAAAGGTGCCAAAAACATACAATGGAGAAAAGACAGACTTTTTTAACAAATGGTGCTAGGAAAACTGGTTATCCATATGTAGAAGAATGAAAATAGACCCTTTCCTATCACCCTGAACAAAAATCAACTCAAAATGGATCCCAGACCTAGGAATTAGAAACTATGCAGCTTCTACGAGAAGACATAGGTTCAACACTCCAGCTTTTTTTCTTTTGTTTTTATATATACCTTTATTTATTAATTTTTATGTGATGCTGAGGATCGAACCCAGTGCCTCACACATGCTAGGCAAGTGCTCTACCACTGAGTTACAACCCCAGCCCAACACTCCAGCTTTTAGGCAAAAGCGATGACTTTCTCAACAGGACCCTGAAAGCTCAGTAAACAATGAGGGAAGGAGGGCATCCATTTAAAAAGCTTCTGTACAGCCAAGTAAACAATCAGGAACATGAAGAGAGAACCTATAGAATGGGAGAAAATCTTTGCTAGTTACTCTTCTGACCAGAAGATTAATATCTAGAGTATATAAAGAACTCAAAAAACTTTATATCAAAAAATCAAATAACCCAATTAATAAATGGGCAAACAAATTAAACAGACATTGCTCAAAAGAAGAAACACAAATGATCGACAAATATATGAAACAATGTTCAACATCATTAGCAATTAGGAAAATTCAAATCAAAACTACACTGAGGTTTCAACGACTTCACCTCACTCCCATCAGAATGACAGCCATCAAAAATACAAACAATAATAAACGTTGGGGAGGATATGGAGAAAAAGGAATACTTTCACACTGTTGGTGAGACTGTGAAGTACCACCACCACCATGGAAACCATTATGGAGGTTCCTCAAAAGGACAGGAATGGAACTACTGTGTGACCCAGCTCACTACTTCTTTATTTATCCTAGAGCATCAAGGTCATCCCACTGCAGTGACACATGCACTCCCGTGTTTAGAGCAGCACAATTCACAACAGCCAAACTGTGGAACCAGCCTCGGTGAATATCGACAGAGGAATGGATCAAGAAAATGTGGTACTTATACACAATGGAGTTTTACTGAGCTCTAAGAAAAAGGAAATTATGTGATCTGCAGCAAAATGGATGTTAAGTGAGATAATTCAAACTCAGAAGGTCAAGGAAGGTATTTTTTCTCACACAAGTGGAAGCTAGAGAGGAAAAAGGAAAAGAAAGGGGGGGGGTGGGGGTCGATCTCATGAAAATCAAAGAGAGACGAGTAGGGGAAAGGGACCAAGGGGTGGGAGATGCAGAGACCGGGGAAAGCGCTGGCAAGTGATACTGGCCAAGTTACACTGTTATAGTGTACACTACGTGCACGTACCAATACGTAACAAAAATCCCATCAGTATGTGCAACTATATACACCAAGAATAAAATGGGGAAATAAAAAAGTGCTGTCATCTAGTGTGTATGTCAAAGTACTATTATCCTTTCCTGTTAAAGAAACTGAACTCCACATTTATGATACATTGTCTCTCTTTCTGTCCCAAACTAAAGTCACCTTCAAAACACAATCATTTTGAAATTGTTTACTGCAGCCAACTCTTGAGTTCCTACATATGATGGTAAAACAGACCATCAAGAAGTGAAGATCAATTCCTCTCCTTGAGTATGAGCTGGATTTAGTAAATTCTAACCTATAGCATGTGGTGGAAATAACAGAGTGTCACTTCTAAGACTCAGCTATAAAGTATGACAGTCTACCCCCTTTTCTCTTTTGAACCACTTGCTTTGTGGGAAGCCTGCTGATGTGCTCTGAGGACACACAAGTAGCTCTATGCAGGGGTCCATATGGCAAGGAATTAAGGCCTCCTGACAGTGGCCATGGGTGACAGCCACCTCAGAAACAGATTCTCAGCTCCAGGTAAGCCTTCAGATGACTCTCCCTCCCCAACACTGAACTGCAACCTTGAGAGAGACCCTGAGCTAGAACCACCCACCATGTTGCTCCTAAAGTGTTGTTATCTCAACCATTATAAGATAATAAATGATCACTATTTGGGTTTGAATTATCACTAAGTTTTGTGGGCTTTGATTTTTTTGGTCCTGGAGAATCAAACCCAGGGCCTTGTGCGTGCCAAGCAAGAGGTCTACTGCTGAGCCATATCCTCAGCCCAAAATTACCCTTACATTTTTTTGGAGACTGTTACAGACCGACAATTAATGTTCAGTTATATGTGAAAGAAATTTGGTTAACACAGTCATTAGTAACAGAGAACAATCATATTTGTGTTCAGATTGTCAGGATAATGTACTTTTTGGTCCACCTTTTTCTTTCTTGGGAAGCTTAAACCCTAGAGAAACAATAAAGGAAATTTTATCTAAATTTCTATCACTCACATACTATAGTATTTATTTTAGTATTTGATCGCTATTTGGAAGACCACATGCCATGGTTCTGTGGACCCAAGGAGGATACTGTGTTTCACAGTTCCATAAAGGTTGCCCAAACATTTCTAAAGTTTAGGTGAGAATTTAAATTACAGGTTTTAAAAATCACTGAACAGATCAATTTCATGCATGTATGACTTTGTTCAAATGAACCCATATGTATAACTATAATGATCTAATTAAAAAATAAAAATAGGGATAATGTTTCAGCCCTTGGATGGTTACTACCAAGTGAAGTCCTCTCTGTGGAGTGCCAGATAACAATGAGTGGCATTCAGTAGGTATTCAGTTTTTTCTGTGTGTTAGCTGCATATAAATTTGAATCTTAGCTTTCTGTGTTTAATAAACACATCTCAATATTAAAGAAGAATCACTGAACAGCAATATACAACCATTCTAACAGTAGTTTAAATCGATCTCCTTGGGGCTGCTCTCCATGTTGTACTCTGTTTCCTGCTTGGTTTCTGATTTCTATGACATTACAGCGTCAGTGTAGTAAAATTCAGACAGACCCTTATTCAATTTCCAATTTTGCCTCTTGCTAACTATATAACCCATGGCAAATTATTTAATCCTCTCTTGGTTCTAGTTTCCTCATCTGTAAAATGGAGTCAGCAATCACTAGTGTATCTGGAGCTGATTTTGAAGGTTAAATGAGATTCATAAATGTAAAGGGATCTAATGCAGTCCCTGGGCTAGTGGCCATTTCATTATAAATGTCAATACTATTTTTATTTCCAACTACTAATATGAGATATATTTCAAAACACTTGCAAAAAAATTAAGAAGAAGGGGCTGGGGTTGTGGATCAGTGGTGGAGCGCTTGCCTAGCATATGTGAGGAACTGGGTTTAAGCCTCAGCACCACATAAAAATAAAGGCATTGTGTCCACCTACAACTAAAAAATTTTTTTTTAAAAAATTACGAGGGAAGCTATGATAAAAGAAGACTATGATAAAAGAAACAGCAATAGAGAAGTCATTCTTTTGTCAGAGAATTCAGCATTAGGGTAAAACACCCTCCTGCTGTCCTTTAATTCTTCAAATTCTCCAACAGTTAAAAAAAAAAAAATGCAAACATGCCAAATCCAAACCACAGTACTGGCAAAAGATTGAGCAGAGGATCAGATCATCTCTCGGCCAACTCTGTACTGGCCACAATGAAGGGAAGTGTCTTGAGCACCCAGCTTTACTAACTGGTCCAGGTGGGCCTCCGTGGCACCTTTCTATAGTGTTCACACTGGATACAGACAACTATCTCACTAAGTAACATACCTTTAAAGCATAAAAATGTTTAAGCAGCTTACAGTTTGACAAAAATGTCAATTTTAATGAAACAGGTTTTGTTAATTTTTTTTAGAAATAATTTTAATGTAAACAAAAATGTCAACTTACTCTTCAGCAGGCAAGCCAATTAACAACAACTTGTCAGATTGTTTCAAATAAGCCACATGAATTTGTTTTCCATTTAAAAGGAGAGATGAGCTAAGAAAAATAAATTTAAAATAAAGTTAGAATATTTTTAAATGTCATAAATTTATAAAAAATACCCATAAAAAATTACATATGGTATGATTTAAGAACTGAATACTCAATAAGCAAATTTCTTGGCATATACCTAACTGCCACACAGAAAAGGCAAGGAATTATATGACGACAAAATACATTCTAAACTATTTTAAAAACAGAAACAGAAATAACCCAACAAATTCTAGGCCAAAAAAAGTAGACTCAGCATTTTTAAAAAGCTGAAATTCTTTTGTCAACACAAGTGACTATGCACAACTTTTTTCAAAAGAAAGCCATCCATCCCCATTGGTCAATTTAATAAAGCTCTTGTGACTGCCTATTCTTGAGCATGATTTGCTAAAGATAATTCAAAGAAAGGAAAGCAGACATGATCCCAGCTTAGAAGATGATAATTCAATAGGAAACACAGACTATAAATAAGTAACAAAAACATATATCAGGTTTAAACTTGTTCTCAAGGAAACTTTTGGGGTGATGGAGATATTCACTGTGGTAGTGGTTCAGGTGGTCTCTGTAACTTCCAGAATTGATAAAACTGAATATATTACACATATTCAGTTTACTGTACTTCAATTGTTTCACAAAGCTAAAAAAATTAAATGTGTTCTCAAAAGAAATGTGATAATAACTATGGAAATACAGAGAACAGAGTGTGTGGGAAATTTTTTTTAAATATTGTTAGTTGTATATGGACACAATACCTTTATTTTGTGTATTTAGTTTTTTTATATGGTGCTGGAGATTGTACCCAGTGCCTCATGCATGCTAGGCAAGCGCCCTACCTCTGAGCCACAACCCCAGCCCAAGTGTGTGGGATTTTAAATATGAATTATTAAACAGATTTTTTATCCCAAAAGAACATCATTTTTGTTTTCAAATGAAGTTTTAAAATAAATATACTTTTGCACAAATATCAGACTTATGGTCATATTAATATTATTAGAATTTAAAAATTGTTAAGGAAACACCAAAATAATAATTTTCCTATTCACTTCCTCAAAAGACTTTTTCTAACTGTATTTACTACTTTCTGCATTTTAATTCCATACCTAATTACTAATAACAAGATCTAACTATTAATTAAAATGACATTTATCCTATACAATCAAGGGGGAAAGCAAATCTACATTGAGTCACTCCAAACACACTTTCTTTATAAATGAGGACTTTACCATGAAACATTATGCTAAATGAAAAGAAGCCAGTCACTAGAAACCACACATCATACGATTCCAATCAAATGACAAGTCTGGAATAGGGAAATCCTTAGGGATAGAAAGCCGATTAGCCTAGGGCTTGGCTTGGGGAAGACAGGCTGATTATAAAGGAAATGGGGTTTCTTTCTTTTTTGGGAGGGGCGTGTAACCAGGGATTGAACCCAGGGGCACTTACACTAAGCCACATACTCAACCCATTTTTATTTTGAGACAGGGCCTCGCTAAATTGCTGAAGCTGGCTTTGGACTTGTGATCCTCCCATGTCAGCCTCCAGAGCTGCTAGGATTAGAGGTGTGTGCCACCACACCTGGCATAAGGTTTCTTTTTGAAGCAATTAAAATGTTCTAAAATTGACCTTAGTGATGGCCGCACATATCTGTCAATGCACTTGAAACCACTTACCCATGTGTACTTTTTAAATGGCTGAAATATATTGTTTATGAACAATAGCTCAATAGAGGTGGTTTCAAAAAAAAAAAAAATGGGCTAAGGAAGTAGCTCAGTTGTATAGCACTTGCCTAGAATGCCTTGGGTTCAATCCCAGCAGGGCAAAAATAAAAATAAAAACACTCCTGCAGTATGCTTTTATGAATGTGAATTTATATATTAAATGGAGCCTTGGGTAATACTGTCCTGAAGATGAACTATATATATCATACCTAAATTCAGAGAGTTAAACATGAATTTTATTTAGGAAAATAAGGAAATTCATTCTTCTTCCTATTGTCCTATAGGTCCTACCTCTTATAAAATCATAGAAGCGTCACTTGTACCAGAAGATGGGAAATGAAGTTAAAGCCTAGAAAATCTAACTTGGTGTTTTATCATTAATATGAGGAACCTTAAAACTTGAAATAAAATTTCTTTTTAAACTCTAAAATTGTTAAAATATTAAGGAAGAAAAAGTGTTTGTAATATTTAATTTATTATGAGGAAAAAAAACTCAAAAATTTTGAGCTTTCTCATCTCAAAGGCCCTGGCATTTCAGTCAGGACTTGATAAATCAAAGTGGAATAGCTCTGTAACTGACTATGTTTTACATGTATACACACACACACACACACACACACGCACACTTATCCATCACTGAATAAACCTCACAGATGACAATTTTCCTGAATATTCCTCTTAAAGTATTCTGTATTTTTATATTGTTGTTTTAAGAATAGATTATTTTCTAATTATATGAAAAATTCAGTGTTCTGAAAGGCATTGCCTAGCAAGTTACCCATCGAGATAAAAACATGAAGCCTAGACTCATAATAATGCCATGTTTAAAAGACATGACCTTTATGAAGAAACACAGGTCATTAGCCCAACTCCATCATTAAAGTATGAAACACCTAGATCCAACTATACTGGAAACCTACACTCTAAATTTAATAGATGGCTGGTGGAAACAATATGGATGAAACCAAATTCTTCAGACATCCTATCCAATATATCAGTATAGGCATCTATCTTATAGATAAAATTATATTTGTATGATAGATAAATTTAGCATTTTGTTAGAATCAAAGAAAAGAACTTGAAAGAAATGTAGTTAAAGCTAAATAAAAAATTTTACCTAGTAACCTGTGTCCCAGTTACATTTTCCAGCATGTCACAGAGTGTAAGAAAAATTCCTCTTACACTTTTAAGCTTCTGAGATGCTTCAGACATTGGATAGTGATAAAGAATTTCCTGCTGTTAAATGAAAGGAAACAGAAATGATAACCCTCCTGAATTTCCAGCCATTATTTTTGTCATGGATGGTTCAGACTTTGTATTAAGAACAAAACAAAAAAGAATTCTGACTTCAGTGTGAGTTTTATTCAAACACAAGGAGAGAAGTATGCTTGGAATTTGAACACATTAACTAGCATTTGAAAATTGGTTAGAGATTGCCAATTGCTCATGGTACCAAAATATATACTAGGATACTGATTATTAAAATTATAATTAATTTAATTTCAAAATGTTTTAAATTTTAATCTTGACAGTAATTTCTAATACTAATATTTTATTGTATTTCATTACACAGACATTTCCATCTTCCAGAGTTATACAGCTATACACACCACATACAACTTTTAGGAGTCCTTAAATGAAGTGCCTTTCATATTGCCTTTTAAAAGATCATCTTTATCCATTTTGGTAAAATTATTAAATATTTATTTATAATCAATTAAAATCTGCAATTAAGCTTACAAAATAAGAATATAAGATGAAATTAAAGTCGTACACACAGAAAAAAAATCATGATATTATAAAATCCTATTTGTCATAAATTTGAAAGGGTTTGCATACCACAAATTAATATTAATTCAAACATTAAAAGAGAGCACATTTTGTTTTACATTATGGGAAATACGAATCTATAAGATAAATCACAAAATGCTTAATAATTTTCTATTTTTAAGCAGAGCATGTTTCCAGGAAAAAAAATAGCTTTTACAAAATAAAACAGCATATTTCAAAATCAGGCTGTGCACTGTGCTAACACTTTTTAAAACATGAAGAGATGAACCATTTTGTTTCTCACTTTTGTGCTTTTAAGGAAACAACTATTTTTCTCACAAGACTAATGAAAAGCAGGCAAAATAAAAATTTCTAGATAGAAACCATGGGGAACTCAGACTAATTTCCAGTTACTATTTAATGACTACATCCATAAATTTAATATGGCCACAGTTGAAAACCTGAACCCCTTAAATATCTACCTTTTTTTCTTTGGTTCTCCATCTCTGTAAAGAGTATTAAACAACTTGATTTGGTCTCTTTATACAAGCAATATGACACTGTGTCCAAGGCAATTTTTAAATTATGACAAATAAATCAGGATAAATTTGGATATTTCTGCTTTTGTGTCTTACTAAGCACAAAATATTTCAATATATGTAAATTGTTATGAGATATGTTGGCAAATACACTCTGTCTCACAGTTCAAATTTTTTGCAATATTTTCAGTGTAAAAACAGTTACCAACCACTATGTTATCTCTAAAAATTAAGTCAAACATTGATTAAGATCTACTGTTATGTGTACTTGATAAGTATAAACCTTGGCCAATGAATACTTTAACTGCATTTAGATAAAAATACCAAACATTGTTTTAAACAAATAGTCTTTGATTAGTTTTTGAAATCTCTCAGTTTATAGTCTTTATTCTCCAAGATTGAAGAAAAAAAGTTTTTATCACACATGTAACTCACAAAAAAACCAAAATGACCCTTTGACATTTCACTGTAAAATATACTAGTTAAGAAAGGTCAATTGAGAGCTCCATTCTGGTTTTACACGCTCAGTAGGAAAGCGCTGGCAAGCTCTACAGTTCCTCACCAATTTAATTAGCTGTATTTTTAAGCAATTTCTAGTAGCATGCATTTGCAGCAACTTCCACTCTGTTCAGTATGAATAAAAAGCCTCTCCTAATTACAGTGTTGATACAGGGCTGGCAGCAGACAGACCTGTTCATTTGTGAAACATCCACACACTTTCCCAGGAAAAGAAAGGCGAGGACAACAAAAGGTCTTAGCAGTCTCCCACTACAAAATGATCTGGAGAGATTCTGGTTACAATTATTCCTGAAATTTGCTGGGGGTTTTATATAACAAATGCTTAAATGCCTCACTTGTTTTAAAGATATAAGGAGCCAATAATACAAGACATTAGAATTACTAACTCCAACTCTCTATGTATTTTTCAGAAAATAGAAAATTGCAAAAATATGAATGAATATCTTCTTTGCCATTTCAAGTATTAAATTCTAACATAAGAAGCAACACAGAGAACTATATCTCTTGGAATAAATGGCTTTGGCATTGAAAATGTCACTTCTATTTGGTGCATTATGGTAAAGTAAATGCTTTCAGAGATTCTCATTTTGTAAAACCAGATGCTGGGGCAAAACTCTTGCTGAATTGCTTGCATGCAAGAAAACAGAGGTTCCCAAGGGCCTCTCCCACATTCTTCCAACATTCCCTTTCACTGCAAAGCCTTAGAAGTACTGAATTCAGGGCAATAGGCCACAGCAGGGTTGTCCTGAGGACTGATGTCCACAGGAGCTTTAATCAAAACACTGAGCCCTGGGCTTGCAGCAAGGTAGATGAGCTGAGCTGAGCTGAGGACCACGACTTTAAGCAGAGACCTCAAGGAAGGCTGAAGTGCTCGAGGCTGGTGGCAGAAGCCTAAGAAGCAAGTTCTCCCTGAAGGAAAGTATTCCCACTTTAGAACCACAGGATTCACAAGATAAAAGCGAGCAGTAAGTTTAGACAAAGATCCTCAAAGATGTAAGGTTTGGATCCTAATGTTTACCGTTAATGGTTGAATCCTAATGTCTCCCAAAGATCCATAATACCAGCCTGTGGCATTACTGTAGGGTGGCAAAACCTTGAATCATGAAGAAGTTAAAAAACTTGACAAGAACAATAATGAGCAATGAGATTACATCAGTAATAAAAAGTATATCATCAAAGAAACGTCCAGGACTTGATGGCTCACAAGTGAATTCTACCAACTTTTTATTGAAGAATACTATGTTTTTCTTAAAAAGAAAAAAATGAAGAGGCGGGTCCTTCCAAACTCATCCTATGAGGCCAGCATTACCCTGATAACTAAAAACACAAGGAAAAATAAGAAGAAAACTATAGGCCAAAAAACATTTAAATATAAGATTCAAAGCTATGAAACTACTAAGAGAAAACAGGAGAAATGTCTTGGAACATTAGGCTGAGCCAAGATTTTTTAATTTTTTTTTTTAAACAAGGCCCCAAACAAAAGACAAAGAAAGCAAAAATTGACAAATGGAACTACATCAAACTAATAAGCTTCTGCACAGCAAAGGAAACCATCAACACGACTATGAGACAACCTATAGGATGGAAGAAAAGATCTGCAAACTAAACATCTGACAAGGGGTTAACATCCAGAATCTCTAAGGACTCAATTTACTAGCAAAGACAGAAAAAAAGCCCCCAAAAAATGTGTTCAAGAAACACTGAGAAATGAATTTTAAAAATATAAGCCAGGCATGTTGGCACATGCCTGTATCCCAGTGGGTCAGGAGGCTGAGGCAGGAGGATCATGAGTTCAAAGCCAGCCTCAGCCAACTTAGTGAGGCCCTGGGCAATTCAGCGAGACCCCGTCTTGAAATAAAAATATAAAAAGGGCTGGAGTTGGGGCTCAATGATTAAGTGCCCCTGGGTTCAATCCCCGCTACATACATACGTGTGTGTGTGTGTGTGTGTGTGTGTGTAAAAGACACCCAAACTATTTACAACCTATGAAAAAAATGTTAGCACTACCTGTACCCAGCAGGAAGGACAATGCCTGAAAAGGCGCCAGGAACTCTCTGGGGTGATGAAGATGCCCCATATCATAGGGAGTGTGATACTGCTTACACAAGTGCACAAACGTGTGGAAACTTCTGAAATTGCACACTTGAAATTGTTTAAATTTGTTATATATAAATAATTTCTCAATAAAGCTGACAAAAAAAAAATAAGTCCTTAGCGTCTAGAAGTACTGCAACAACACCTTCTCCCTTCACCTTTTCCTACAGCTTAAAATAACTGAATAGTCGATTCATTTTTATTTTAAAAACGTGTAGTGTGAGATATTCATATATACAGGAATACAAAGTATACAGTTTTAAATAATAATAATAAAATACAGTTAATTCCTTGTAGTTTCTTCTTCAAATAAAAAATGCTCATTTACTAGGAAGACAGTAAAAGGTCCTTCTCGCCCTGCTACATCCAAGTCACTCACCTCTTCCTTCGAGATCTCCGAGTCGAGCTGCAGCGTGAGGTACATGATGATGTGAGGCAAGTTCACCATATTCTGCGGGATGCTCCCAGCCTCTTCTCCCCACAGCAGTGTGACTAAATCATTTGTGTTAGACTGTGCCTTCTTCTTTCTTAGTTGGTGTGTTTCCTTTTTTACAGCATACGCATTTTCAAATGTCAGTTTCACCTTTAAAAATTAAAACAAGGTGTTGGTTTTAAACAAGGCAAAATTAGCTGCATTTTCCCCAAAGAAGGTGAGCTGCACACACGCTCGCGAGCGTGAGTTCACTGTGGCTAGATCACCCAGGCAAGGTCCTGATGGCAGGGCTGTGTGTTCTCTCGGCAGCTCCAGCTCCAGCTCCTAGTACAGGGCCTGGCACAAACAACCACAGGTGTTTACTGAGTGAGGAAGGATACAATGCTCTGCACAAACATCCCTTAACTTAAACTGAATCGGTGACCACACAAACATAAAGATTGTGAAAAAACAGAAATCAGACGCTGTGACAGTGCAGAGGGCCACAGCACACTGCAACTGCCGGAGGCCCAGCCACCTGAGGAGGAGGAGGGAAGGGATTCAGGATGGAAAGTGGCCTCCCACAGCCAGTCGGCTCTCCACTCAAACACACTTCTCTCGGACATCCTTGGGGGTCTGTTAAAACAAAGGCTAAGAGGGTAAAAAGCCATCACCACACTGGACCTTGGAACATGGCCCTATAAAGATTATCTGTCAATTTTATCAAGACACTTCATTTCGTGGCTTGTTATCCAGATTGCTAAGAATCCAGAATGTGGCCATTTTCGAGCTGTTAAAAGGTGGCTTCCACTCCTCGACGTTTCCTTGAAACGTTAGCCCAGGATAACCTTCTCATTTCGAGGACGCCCCAATGTGTATCTTGACTAAAAAGTCAATTGTGTGTAAGAAGGACATCATCACAAGCTATGTAAGTACAAGGTAAGTATCTACGGACATTCTAATGATGACAATCAATAAAGTTTAAAATTTAAACATCAAAGTCCAATAATATTTTTTAAATAAAGTTAAACTTTTAAAGGAAAAGGACAAATTCTTGTTTAAGAACAAAGAAAACTAATCAATATTTAAAAGCAGATAAAATTGTTTGCAGTAAGGTATATTTGGGATAGAATATTTATTAATAAAGTAATAATTCCTATTTTAATAAATTTATTGCAAGAGATACCACTTTCAAAGTCAACCTAAAAAGGCATGATGAATTCTACCATTACACTCTCCTTTTTTAAAAATATTTGTTTAGTTATAGATGGACACAATACCTTTATTTTATTAATTTATTTTTATGTGGTGCTAAGGATCGAACCCAGTGCCTCACACACGCAATTATGAACACTCTACCACTGAGCCCCAGCCCCAGCCCCAGCCCTACAGTCACTCTTTTAAAAATGAGCTTTATATATTTTCATCAAAAATGTTAAGCACACTTTAAAAAAAAAAAAAATCACTCGTAACCCTACCTGCTCACCTAACTGTTACTAGTATTACACCATAAATCTTTCTTGGTGAACAAAATCTTCCAAAATAAAAAGGACAGATGCTCCCGTTTTGTTGGCTAGGAGTGACTGCTTATGGTTGTATCCAATTTTTCTTATCTGTAGCTCATGTGGCATTTCAGAAGCACAAGATTTCTTTGTCTGCCTAAGTGGACTAAGTTAAACACACATCTCTTCTGAGTCTCAGGCTTTATTTTATAAACAAGTTGCTATAGTTTGGGTTTGTTTGGGGGTGGGTGGGTGGCACCCTACCACTGAGCCGCACTGCTAGCTACATCACTAGCTCTTTAGTTTGGATCTTAAATATGCCCCAAAGGTCCATGTGGCTAAAGCCTTGGTCCCCGGCAGGGGGAAACCAGAAGGTGATGGAAACCTCCAGAGTGGGCTCAGTAAGAGGTCTTTACATAATGGGGCATGCCCTCTAAGTGGTCTGTGGGAGCTGGTGCTTTCCTCTCTCTCTCTTTTGCTCCCTGCCATGAAACAAGCAGTTTTACTCTATCACTCGCTGCCCCCTACTGCCATCTGGCACTCCCACAGAAGCCTAAAAGCAATAGGTTCACCTTTCCAATCATGAACTAGAATGTCTAAAACTGTGAGCCAAAATGAACCTTTTTTCTTTTTAAGTTGATTATCTCAGGTATTTGTAACAGTGATGTTAAGGTAACTAACACAGAAGTAGAAAATAAGACACTGGGTCTCAATTCATCCATATGTATATATTCAGAAAAAAGGTGAAGTTATGAAGACCAGTAGCCAGTAGTGATTTTTATACTAAGTAGCAGGAGAGAAGTTCTTCATGAAATGTTTCTGAGGCATGATAGTCATGTTTCTTTACAAAACATTCAATGTAATTTTAAATGGAAAAGATCAACATTCACTAAATTTTTTGTTTTCTATAAACCTGATGTTAAAAAATAAACCTTCTGTATCTGAACATTATATTTAAAAAGGCCAAATAAAAAATTAGAATATTTCTGGGAAAAGATATTAAACAAACTGAACAAAAATATAAAAAAATTAGAGACCCCCAAGTGGGAACAATCAAGGGTTGTCTTTCAATGAAAATTAACACAGGCTGAAGTGAGAGATGAAAAGATGCCACTTTAAATGGGTATAAAAAAGAATACTTGGGTGAGGTCTTGACCTCATGGGCTACAGGTCAGCACAGTATGGCCTGAGGGACTAGGTCCTGAAGGTGGCACCTCTCTAGTTGGTTCAGCATCAACAGTGGTGAGCAGGAGGGAAGGGACAGAGAAGGCACAGGACTCGGAGCAGGGAGGGGTCTTCCCAGCTTAGTCCTGTGGAAGGAGGGTTAAAAGACAGCATGCATCTCACCAAAAATAACAAAAGGGAGTTCGTTGGTAGATTTAAAACTTCACTAATTTTGCTTCAGGCAGCAGCAACAGCCTGAAATGTAAGACTGGTTTGCTAACTTGGTTAAAATGACACATGTGCTTGAAAAGTCACTCTCCTGCTGTCGTTGGCAAACAATCTCACTTCTTTTCTGTGGTACAAGGACCTTTTCCCCTCACCATGACAAAAGCCAAACAAAACACAGATCAGTATTTTAAACTCCATAACATAAAAATAATTATACTTTAGAAAGACATTTAAAAGCTCACATGTAAAGTAGATTGTAAATGTAGAGAAACCTGGGTGCCTTCATAAAATGGTAAAGGTGAGACAGCCAAATTAAGAGTTAAGTGCTACATTTTAAAAGGGGTTGATTTATATAAATATTAAGAACGTGTTTTATGTGAAAAAACCTTTGTTAACTAACGTAAGTTAGGTTATTGGAACCTTTGCTTCTCCGCAGACTTTGGGCTGTGACATGGTCCTGGCTCCTCCTGTCTCCTTATTTGTGCAGTTTGCCCTTCCCTCCTCCATCCCTCCAGCTGAGGTGAGGATGTGCCTTCCTCAGGTCTGACCACACCTCCTTACAACTCATGGCTGCCAAGGTCTCGCTGCTGAGCCACCCCCTCTCTCTTATTTCAGCCCACCCTCGTTAGAGTCCCCCAGCCTCTACCACGCAGAAGGCAGATGCTCTCAGCTCTGGCCAGCGTCCTCTCTGCAGGAGACCAGGGAGGCTCTGGGATATGAAATGCCCCACCTCCCATTCTGCGCTGTCTTTCTCATATCTGGGCTGCTCTCCACGTGTCTCATCCTCTCCCCAGGGCTAAAAAGGGGCAGATGCTTTCTATATTCCTTAGTCAAAATTCTCAAGGAACCAAATCTGATTGGCTCAGGAAATTATCTGTCCTCCACACTTTGATATTTTAAAACTTAAAAACTTTAAAACTTAATCCTTAAGTATGTATCTTCTAAGGTTATTATCCTGCATAATCACAATATAATTTATCACTTAAGAAATTTAGCACGTTCCTTGTCCAAAAATCTTAAATCTAAAAATGCTCCAAAATTCCAGACATTTTGAGCACCAACAAAATGTTTCAAAAGTTCTGGGGCCTTTAGGATATTCAGATTAAAGATGTTCAACTAGTAAAGTCTATGCAAATATTCCAAAATCTGAAAAAAAATTCAAATTGTGAAACACTTCTGGCCCCAGCATTTTTGACAAGAGGCACTCAACCTGCACCACTATCTAATAAAGTCCATGTTTCCCAAACTGTCCTAACACAGCTGCTCCTCACTACCATCCAGTCAGTCAGGGATCACCTACTGCATTTGGCTGAAGATCACCTGGTCCGACTTAGCCTAAGACAGTTCTCCAGACTTTTTTGCATTTCATGGTGTTAGCATTTGTGTATGTGTGGGTGTGGGAGGGGGAGGAATCAAATCCAGGGATTTGCACTTGCTCAACATGCTGTACCCCTGAGGTACACCCAACTCCATGATCTTAATGTTTTATTATTATTTTTTTAATCTTAATGTTTTTTAAACTGTTTTGGATATTTTAAAACTTGACTTTAAAAGAAATGATTGGGCTTTTGAACCTCATAAGTACATAGGCTTTGCCTCTGGATTTCCTTCTGGTATTCTGAATCTATTTACAACAACAGAAACTATTTAAAAAGCAAGCACAGAACAGTACAGTTGGAACTGGGCTCAAAGACTACCCTCTCAAATCCCCTGTGACCACACATGAGGAAACTGAAACCCAGAAGCATTTGGAAACTTGTTCTGGGTGAGGTTTTAAATGGAGGACTGACCTCCTTTCCCTTGGCAACTCTTCTTTCACACTGCTCTAAAAAAGTTTTCAGACCATCTTTTACTCTTTTTACGTTTAAAACATTATTCTTATACATTTCCAGATTTAAATGTTAGAAAGTTTCCTATGGCATTCCCTATAAACAACCATTCTTCCTTTCTTAGTGCTTGAATAACTGTCTCACAAATGCCACAGATACAAACTGGGTAAAATGGCTTTTTTGGGACACATCCGCCTTAACCTGTCCTGACCCATGTTATGGTTTCAATATGAGGTATCCCCAAAAAGCTCATGTGTGAGGCAATGCAAGAAAGTTTAGAGGAAATGACTGGGTTATGAGAACCTGAACCTAATCAGAGCATTAACCCCCTGACAGGGAGTGAATGGTGGTAACTGTAGGTAGGTAGGGTGTGGCTGGAAGAGGGGGTCAGTGGAGGGGCATGCCTGTCGGGTGTATATCTTGGTCCTGGTGAGCAGAGGTCTCTCTCTGCCTCTGGTGCCATGTCCTGAGCTGCTTTCCTCCAACTCATTCATTCACCATGATGTTCCACCTCATCTCCAGCCTAGAGCACTGGAGTTTGCCATCTGTGGACTGAGATCTCTGAAAATGTGAGCACCAAATAAACTTTCCTCTTCTAAAATTGTTCTTGTCAGGTCTTTTGGTTACAGCAGTGAAAAAGCTGACTAAAACACCCAGCAAGAACAAAGGGATCCAGACATCAAGACCTACACAGGTCAGTGTGAAATGGGAGGATCATGCTCTGGGGTCAGTTCGAGTTTCGGTTATTTATTCATAACCTTGGGTAAATCATTAGAACTCTAATATGCTTTTTCCTCACACTTAAAACAGTAATATGGATAACTAGAATCTTGTAGGTTTGTCATGGTTTATATCTTAAGTATCAGAAAACAGGTACCAGGAAGTGGGGTCATTGCTGTGACTACACTTGATGATGTCGTTCAGATGTCTTTGGAATTGGTTTACAGGAGAAATTTGGAAAAGTGTGAGAAGCAAGCTAGAGAAAACTTAAAGCACTGTAAGCAGAGCTTAGAGAGCAATTTTAGTGTGGGCTGAGAAGATCAAAATTCTAATAGAAATGTGAAAAGTAAAAGCCAGGCTCATCAGGTTTCAGATGGAAATGAGAGTCTATTGGGACTTGAACTAGAGGCCAACTGTGTTACATTCCTAGGGAAAAAAGCCTGTCTAGGTTTTATCCCTACACTGAGACTTTGTGGGAGGCTGAGTTTAAAGATGATGGATTAATTAATCTGGTGGAGAAAATTTCAAGGCAGAACGGAATTCAGACTATGGCATGGGCATCACTGGTTAACTTTATCCAGCTTACAGGGAGAACTGAGAGCAAAAAACAGAACAGAAAGATCTGAAAACCTTGCATTCTGGCCAGAAAGGAGCATGTTTAAAGCTGCAGCCAAGGAGGGTGTGAGGATCAAGGTCATTAAAAAGAAGCCAAGTGCTTTGCTCATGGATGACTGAAAAGATGCCTGGAGAGCATCTCAGGAATTGGCACTACGGAGGGCTAAAGGGCACAAAAGTGCACACTCATCTCAAACACTTGCCTTTGAGAAGAAAGCCACGGGGCACCCCGCTCACACAGGGCCCCATAGGGAATGGTTTCCAGGCTGTTCAGCCAGCATAACACTCAGGGACTGCTGCAGCCATGGTTCAAGGGGCCCATGGAGAGGTCACGCAGGTGGCAGACCTTGCTGTTTTCCATGCGATGCTGAATTTGCAGGCATGCAGAGTGTAAGAGTTATGGGGTCATGGAGGTTTCCACCAAGATTTCAAAGGATATCCTGGGAGGTCAAGAGGTATGTGGAAGTGTTGGAATCTCTGCAAGTAGCCCCTGAAAGGACTATGCCCAGTAAGGCAGTGAGACTGAAGCTCAAGCTGTAATAGACCAGGAAGTTAGAGATTCCAGGAATGTGGTATGCCTTCCAAGGGAAGCTGCATGCAGCAAGCAGAATCAGCCCCAGAGAATGGCTGTGCGGGCTGCAGTCAGCAAGGCTGCAGGAGTGGTGCTGCCCAAGCCTCTGGAGTCTTCGAGGTACCACATATGACTCAGACGCCAGTCATGGAGCTACAGGATTTAATGTTTGCTCTGGTCCAATTCCTCCTCATTATTTTCTCACTCTTTCTTTCAGGAATAGGAATGGCTATCCTGTGCCACTTCAATTGTAAAATCTTTGAAGAGACTCACAGCTGAGTTTGCCTTGAGGCTCAGAGGAGACTTCAGACTTGGACTTTTGAGTAATGCCAGAATAGCTAAAACTTTGGGGACTCCTGAAGATGGACTAAGTGGATTTTGCATTGAGATGGACATGAGCCTTTGGGTCCAAGTATGGAATGCTATGGTTTGTATCTTAAATGTCTGCCAAAAGCCCATGTGTGCTGGGTGTGGTGGCGCACGCCTATAATCCCAGCAGCTTGGGAGGCTGAGGCAGGAAGATCACAGGTTCAAAGCCAGCTTCAGCAATGGTGAGGTGTTAAGCAACCCTGTTTATAAATAAAATACAAAATAGGACTGGGGATGTGGCTCAGTGGTCAAGTGCCCCTGAGTTAAATACCTGGTTCCAAAAAAAAAAAAAAAAAAAAGCCCATATGCACGTCTATAGCACTATCTGAAGGTGGCAGAACTTTTAGGAGGTGGGGCCTGGGTGGAGGACGTGAGGTCACTGATGGGTATGCTTGAAGGGGAGACTGGGACTCTGGTTCCTTCCTCTCTGTTTTCTTAAATTATCATGAGATGAGAAACTTTGCTTCACAATCCATTCCCTGCCACGGTATTCTACTTCACAATAGGCCCCAAAACAAAGAGTCAAGTGACCTACTACAGACTGAAAGTATGAACCAAACAAATGTTTTCTCCTGTTAAGCTGATTTTCTCAGTTATTCAGTCACAGTGAGGGAAAGCCGAGAGGAAATGATATAAGCAAAGCACCTGACATATGGCTCACACCCAGGAACACTCATTCCTTCCCTATCCCACTCCTGTCTCCAGGAATTCCTAGTTTACATGGCCTTGGGGAAATGGCCGGTAGTGAAGAGCTTACAATTTACCCTCCCTTTAACATTAACAAAGAAGGAAAACTCTGGTCTGCTAATTAAATATGGTTTCTAGTTAAAGGGATTTAAACTATCTTTTATATAGTTATTAAAGATACGTTGCCCTCAGCCAGGCGTGGTGGTGCACGGCTGTAATCCCAGCAGCTCAGGAGGCTGAGGCAGGAGGATTATGAGTTCAAAGCCAGCCTTAGCAAAAGTGATGCACTAAGCAACTCAGTGAGACCTTGTCTCTACATAAAATACAAAATAGGGCTAGGGATGTGGCTCAGTGGTTAAACGCTCCTAGGTTCAATCCCTGGTACCCCCTTCCAAAAAAAGATACATTGCCCTATATAGAGATGTTTGGTTTTGATAAAGATGGTTATAATACCAATTTTTCCAGTAAAACAAATAAGTGTTTACATGTAGGAGGAAATACTAGAATGAAATACTTCAAAATATAAACAATAGGTATCTTGACATAGTGGGTTTCTAAGTGATTTTTCCCTTACTATTTTGAATTTTCCAAAATTTCTATTATGAAAATTCTACTTTCATAATAAAAAGTTATATTTTTCTAAAATAATAAAAATATTTCAATAATACATAGTTATCATGGAATTATACCCTGAAGTTGTGTATCATCAAAAGGCGATGCTATAATGTAATACAGCATAGTCTACAATAAGCCTAACTAAGTCAGTTTTCCTTCATCTTCAAAACAATTGCTATTTCTTCATGTTGGCATCAGACATGGCACTTGAGAGCCATGTGGTGTAAAACATATGTCTTTAAACTCAGAACAATACATAATGCAGCAAGATGCTCATGGTATAAGAGGCAAACTGAACAAATAGATACCTACTGCATAGTCAATGAGGATGTATTAATTGTGGGTACAATTAATCAAAAATATTCAAATCATTACTTCTTTCCTTTTTTTTTGCCAAGTGTACATAAATGAATTTGTAACTGTTAATTAAATATAAAGTAATTCTGCATAAATATGATGTGGTTAAGCTCTGGCAATATTGGCAACCTACCTGCAACTGACACAGGCAAGGAAGAGGGGCCTCAGTCAGAGCTGACACAGGGACACTTTATTTGGGGGAACTCGCTCAGTCGTTACAATGTGACAGTTCTTCATTACTGATGGGTAGTTAGCTGCTGTCTCTCCCCCTAGTACCCTAGTACCTCCAACCGCCCAAGGACCTCCTTAGACCTAACCCCTTATCCTAGTCGCTGGTGTCCACCTGAGAGTCAATATCTCCAACGCACCCTATCTCCACCTATGTCTTCTAACCACTCCACTCGCTACTGTCATGGCTACCATGGTCATTTCAATACTTTCACCTCACATTTCTAAAGAGCTGAATTTATAGAGTATCTGTGTAAGTCTGCACAAGTACCTGAAAGCACATGGGCGTTTAAGAGAAGGAAGCAGGCATGAGGGAAATCTTATAAGGAATTTCCTCACAGGCTTATTTCAGAATCTCAAAACACATACACATAAGGTTCTGATCCCTCAAGGATTTTGTTCTTCTACCTAACCAATCCCCAAACCACTTAACCCTCTCACCGCCTGGCGGATCCTCTAACCTAGCTGAATACATTGTCTTCTCCACCTCCCAAGAAAGACGGAAAGTGAATTTGTGATCCTAATGAGAACAAAGAGTTCCTGAAAAGGAGGTACAGCACTTCCAAAATACATCTAATATCCTAAAATGCCATCTGTGATAAAAAATGTAAGTTTAGAATACTGAAGTGAGTTAGCATAAAATAAACTTATTTTTATCTACAAGGAGTAAAAAATAATTCATTAAGTAGTTTAACAAATTTTACCAAAAAATAGAAATTCAAAAAAATAGTATAATTTGTTCTTAGAATAAGACAGTATTAAAAATCTTTTTATAGCAATAGTGAATTTAATAAGTCAGAGAATAAAAAAATTCCATGACTATTGAAAATGGCTCTTCTAGGAACTAGAATGTCATCAGCACATATGTTAGTTATAATGGCAAGCTGATAATTATGTTTTTATTATTGTTGCTGTTTTGCTTTATTTAGAATGAGTTTTATTTATAGCTATTTTTCTCCCTTTTCAGAACAATACCCCTAAGCTAAACATGTTACCAAGAACTACAATGTGTTAAATATCCAAGTATAAATGTAACTAATCCATTATATATGACAATTTTCAGAATCCTAAAAAAGAAAATGGTACAAGATACATTTCTATATCACTATAAGAAAATGAATGTCCAAACCTGCATAGGTCCAGGAATGCAAGACAGAACTCTCTCTATGTTCTCAGAGGTCACATCAACATCATTCACAGCAACAAGGACATCACCTATAAAGGGAATAACAATAAAAGATAGTTGTGTGAGCAAAAAAAAACCAAAGAGATGCAGATCTGAAACATTAAAAAGTGGCTATCCTGACTTCCTCAAAGTAAAATAGGAAACACTGTACACACACTCAGGGATTGTCCAAGATTGTACAGTGTCTGGGACAGAGTTAGTGCCCAACTCTACTCTTACTTACAATGCCACCCAATATTGTGTCATAACTACATACAAGCTATGAATATTTATAGGGATAAACATTCCCATTCTTAGGACATGTAAGATTTCTAGCATAAACAAGTACTACACTTAACAAAATTGAATCTAACCACTTAGTCCCACAGTTTTAAAAAAAATTACTGAAATTTTAATTAAATCCATGTGGTAGGTTGTAACTCAATGTGCTCTGGCCTTTGTTGCTGTTACTGATGTGTCAACAAACATTTCTTTGCTTCAAAAGGTTCTGACTATATCAAAATATATGTATCAGTAAAAATCTGCTTTCCTTTAAATATATATGTCTTCAAATTTGATAATAAAGATTAAGGTTAAAATGAAAATTTACTTTCAGAACATATTTAAAGGTAATGTCAAAACACTAATAAGCTGTGTTGGTAGAAATATAAATACACCTATTATTTTTCGCATTATTCCAAAATATATCATTAGCAAATAGATCAAATAACTCACATGCATCCCTTCATTTAGAAAGCATTTATTGAGAACCTACTATGGGCAAGGTATAATCAGTGTGGATAGAAATCAGAAAAAAAACAAATGTCCACACTCCTGAAGCTATTCTTTGGGGAAGATGGGTAATAAACATGTACACAGGTAAAATAGTGTAGGTGGACAGTTCTCTATTGGTCTCACATTTCTGGACATTCTGCAAGCAAAGGCACTGAGTCTCTGTTCTGGACTATCTTTTCAAAGATGTTTATAGAACAAGCAGCCTGGATGACAGAGATAGTGCTTCCCTCTTGAGCAGAGGCTGAGTTCGTTCACTGTACAGTATATAAAAACAATTTCTTGTCACTATCCCATTATTCATAAAATTATTCCTTACAAGAGGCTGGTGTTCCCCAAGTTCAAAGTTCCTCCACTTAATGCAAACTGCTACTAGGCATCACCTGGCCCTTGTTAGGGCTGAGAAGTAGAAGACAATGCTAACATTTTATGTACCACTATTCCTCTCTTGCTTCCTGCCTCTCCTTGATGCTCTATCATACAGGAGGGTTGAGGGTAGAGTGAGTGGGACGAGCTCAGCTGTCTGTGAAGGTTTATGAAGGCCTGCATTAGATGCTCAAGCGAATAACTCAGTTCAGAGTGCAAACCTTGGGTACAGTATGATGTGATGTACTGTGATGGTCAACCACTGCAGCACTATGGGCAACCTGGGAATGGTTCTTAAAAAAATCCCTGCAGACCAAAATAAACTTCAAACTAAAAGCAACACACCCCTCTAGTTGCTCTGAAGTAAGAGATTACATCAATTATTTACAGCTGTATTTTTTTTTTTTTTAAAGAAAAGACATAGGGGCTGGGGATTTAACTCAGTTGGTAAAGCACTGAGCTAAATCATGCACAAGGCCCTGGGTTCAATACCCAGCACCACAAAAAAAAAAAATAAATAAATAAATAAGGCATGATAAACATTGAATGTTGATATATTCACTTTTAGACCAAAGTGGAGTTTTGGCATCTATAGACTATGCCATCCTCAGGACACTTAAGACAGTGAGGCCCTTTTAAATTTGGTACTTCAAACTAAAAGACCACTGAGTGAAATCCCATGCAACTTATTTGGGGGAGGGGGGGTACCAGAGATTAAATTCAGGAGCACTTGACCACAGAGCCACATTCCCAGCCTATTTTTTATTTTATTTAGAGACAGGGTCTTGCTGAGTTGCTTAGCACCTCACTTTTGCTGTGGCTGGCTTTGATCTCGTGATCCTCCTGCCTTAGCCTTCCAAGCAGCTGGGACTACCGGCATGCGCCACCAAGCCCAGACCATATGACTTTTTCCTCCCAACTCTAATGAATATATTTTGATAGTTGAGTGTTCTAAGGAGTAATTTCATGTACAGCAAACCTCTCTAAAAATAGGAGACATGGATCATCAGAAAGTTACAGGGAAATAAATTTAAAAAGCAAGTGAAGTATAACTAATATTTTAAATGTTTAATAGAATGATTTCCCATTCTATAAAGGAAGAATTATGTTGACTTCTCATTCTCCCAGATATGTGTTTTCTTTTAGTTCTCCAGAGCACTTGTGTGAAGTGACTCACAAGGTGGGCTTCCTGGACACCGTCCATCACTGCAGCAGGCAGCACGCATCCAGGGAAGCTTCCTCAACAACACACAGTGCTCACGTGTTCTGTTCCATTTCAAAGGCTAAACGGAAATGATCTGGGGATTATTAGTGGGTAGAAATCAGAAGAAAGTTTATGAAAGGATACATTCAAGAATCAAATAAAATAGAAAATGTGAAATCAGTTAATCATAGTCTTAAATTAATTCCTCATTATAAATAAAGTTAACTATTTGGACAAATGTATTGATTTCTCAGCATGTTCTTAACAACTAATGTAATATGGAAGAGGCACAAATAGCTATGAAAAAATATAAGCAAAGATTTGTTTACTGCTGTATTAAAACTATATATAAACTGAATATACAGCTTTAAGCAGCTTAAGAAATTACAATTTATTATATATTCCAAAATAGAAGATTTTTACATGCTTCCAATACAAAGACAGAAGGTATGTTTGATGTAATGGACATGCTAATTGCTCTGATTTGATCATTTTATATTGCTTGCATGTGTTGAAATACCACATTGTATCACATGAATAAGTTAATAAAGAAAGACACTATTTTGGGGAAAAAAATTGTTATACACAAATGTAGGGCAAAGAAAGCGTAATACATCAAAATGTTGCCTTTGGAGATGAGCTTTTTTCTTTTATGTTAACTTTACATTCTAAACTGTCTACAATGAACATATGTTATTGCTATTATAATGAAGAAAAAATTAAAGCTCATATTTTACTAAAAAAAAAAAATCCTCCACTGTGGTGGGTGTAATGAACCCGGCTGCAAGATGTTCATGTTCTGATGCCTGAAATCTGGGAATATGTTAACTCACACAGCAAAAGGGACTTTGCAGATGTAATTAAATCAAGAGATTTGGAGATTATCCTGGATTATCTGAGAAGTCCTAATGTAATAACAGGGTCTTTTAGCAGAGGCAGAAGTGTCAGAGCAGAGAGACTGGAAGATGATATGCTGCTGGCTTTGAAGATGGGGGAAGGGATCACAAGACAAGGAGTGCAAGTACCTCAGAGAGCTGACCAAGAAAAGAGATTCGCATCTGGAGCCTCCAAAAGAAAATCAGCCTTGTGGACACTTAGATTTTAGTGTGGGAAGACCCATTTTTAAATCTGTATTTACAGAACTGCAAGATAATACATCTGTATTGTTTTAAAACACTGATTTGTGGTAATTTGCCATAATAGCAACAGAAAACGAATGTACCCATCTAACAAAACAAAGCAATTTTTGCTGAGTAGCAAATAAGAGTCAGGGATCATGAATGGTCAAGAAGAAAGATATGATATTCACAGAACATTTGCAGCATAGTAGGGAAAAGTACATTAGTTTTGTTAGAAGGAGGCATTTATATACCAAAAGATTGGGAAATATGGATCTGTGGTAGTGGCTCAGTAGTAGAGCACTTGCCTAGCATATGTGAGGCACTAAGTTCAATTCTCAGCACCACATATAAATAAGTGAACAAAATAAAGGCCCATAAATGACTAAAAGAGTTAAAAAAAAAAAGAAGTTGGGAAATGTGTGTGAAACAGCAAGGTAAATTTAATTATTTAAGCCAAATTTGACCTCAAGGAAAGAAGAATCTAGTTTTGAACAGTTACTGTACTGCACTTTTATACATTCAGAAGTCAACATTTTCTACCAGTGTATTTACTAACACTGTATTTTATTGCTATGACTTTTAACATTTTAACTTCAACTCCTCATCCACAAAATATGGGCTCTAAACAAGAGAGAATTACAGGCCTCCCAACCTACCCTTATAGAAGTCCATGAATAATGGTAATTCACATATTGTAACTATCATTCAGAACATCTGATTAAAAATATCGTATTTCCTGAACAACATACTTCCTAATGAGAGTGGATAAGAAACTAATGCAAGACTTTGTTGTGTGTGTGTTTGTGGGGTTTTTTGGTGGCAATGGGGATTGACTCCAGGGCCTCACACATACAAAGCAAGTCTTCTACCACTGAGATACACTCCAGCCCTTCTTTAAAATTTTGAGACAGGGTTTCACTAAGTTGCCCAGGCTGGCCTTGAACAGAACTTGTAGCCCTGCTGCCTCAGCCTCCCAAGTAGCACCACTCCACCGTCATACCTAGCTTAGTGCAAAATTTTTATTCTCGTTAAGTTAAAAAATAATATTACAGAAAGGCTAGAGAAATTACAATAGTCCTAGCATTACAGCTATGATCATTTTTAAAAGTTAAGTATAGTTGTTCACCTAAATTAGGTATATGGATATTCATTCTTTTAAATCTCTCAAGTGATAAGAATTTATGTTAGTATACAGTTTATAGAATTACTGTTTTAAGTCATATCACATTAAAATCTTAGTAGAAATTTTTATGCTTTTAAGTTTTTAAAAAATTATTTTTAAATGCCTCAATAAACATTTTTATGTTTTATCTCCTTTTAAAAATCAGGGTCAACATTTAGGTCATCCTTTAATTCACAGATCATTTTAATTATGAACCTTCTGAACTCCTTCTCTGATATTTCATCAACTTTGCTGCCCATGGGTTCTGTTATTACAGTCACATCAATGTTTATAGCAACACAATTCACAATAGCTAAACTGTGGAACCAATCTAGATGCCCTTCAATAGATGAATGGATAAAGAAAATGTGGTGTATATATATACAATGGAGTATTACTCAGCAATAAGAGGGAATAAAATCATGGCATTTGCAGGTAAATGGATGGAATTAGAGAAGATAATGCTAAGTGAAGTTAGCCAATCCCTAAAAAACCAAATGCTGAATGTTTTCTTTGATAAAAGGAGGCTAATTCATAGTAGGGTAGGAAGAGGGAGCATGGGAGGAATAGAAGAACTCTAGATAGGGCAGAGGGGTGGGAGGGGAAGGGAGGGAGCATAGGGTTAGAAATGATGGTGGAATGTGATGGACACTATCATGCAAAGCACATGTATGAAGACACGAATTGGTGTGAATATACTTTGTTCTGTTATTACAGTGTCCTGGTTTGTTTGGGGCACTTCCCTCCCTTGTTTTTTCATGTTGTCTATGTATGTGTCTTCCTCTCTTGCAGTGTGGATCTGAGATATCACAGTTTCTACTCTATATTCTTGTAGTACCCATGCAGATTGTCTGTACCTCACCTTGATGTTGGGTTTCTAGACCCTGCTGGTGTCCCTCAATGTATGCTACCACATCTAAAGGTGGTGGCAGCAATAGCTGAGGTAACTCACGATAATTAGTTAAGGGGCCCCAAGATAGAAATGGGACTCTTGAGTCAACACTATTGGTCCAAATTTATGATATCATATTTGGGAAAAGCATCAATATTACTGGTACAAATTTATGCTAATCAGGTCTTAAAAAGAGACTAAACCACATAATTACAGTCAACTCATACTAGATACAGGCACCAGAAACATACACTGGAGAAAAGATAGCCTCTTCAACAAATGGTGCTGGGAAAACTGGAAATCCATATGCAGCAAAATGAAACTAAACACCTATCTCTCACCATGCACAAAACTCAACTCAAAATGGACCAAGGACTTAGAAATAATCCCAGAGACTCTGTGTCTAATAGAAGAAAAAGTAGGTCTTAATTTCCATCATGCAGGGTTAGACCCCAACTTCCTTAATAAGACTCCTGTGGCACAAGAGTCTTGTGTAAATGGGATAGACTCAACCTAAAAAGTTTCTTTTCAGCAAAAGAAACTATCTGTGAGGTGAATAGAGAGCCTACATCCTGGGAGCAAATCTTTACCCCTCACAAATCAGACAGAGCCTAATCTCTAGGGTATATAGAGAACTCAAAAAGCTAAACACACACACACACACACACACACACACACACAATTATCCAATCAACAAATGGGCCAAGGACCTGAACAGACACTTCTCAGAAGAGGATATACAATCAATCAACAAATTTTGAAAAAATGTTCATCATCACTAGCAATGAGAGAAATGCAAATCAAAACCATTCTAAGATTTCATCTCACTCCAGTCAGAATGGCAGCTATTATGAAGACAAACAACAATAGGTGTTAGTGAGGATGTGGGAGAAAAGGCACACTCATACAGTGTTGGTAGGGCTGCAAAAATTGATGCAGCCAATATGGAAAGCAGTATGGAGATTTCTTGGAAAATTGGGAATGGAATCACCAATTTGACCCAGCTATCCCTCTCCTCAGTCTATACCAAAGGACTTAAAAATAGCGTAATATATGGACACAGCCACATCAATGTTTATAGCAGCACAATTCATAATAGCTAAACTGTGGAGCCAACCTAGATGCCCTTCAGTAGATGAATGGATAAAGAAAATGTGGTGTATATATATATACAATGAAATATTACTCAGCAATAAGAGGGAATAAAATCATGGCATTTGCAGGTAAATGGATGGAATTAGAGAAGATAATGCTAAGTGAAGTTAGCCGATCCCTAAAAAACCAAAGGCCTAATGTTTTCTTTGATATAAGGAGGCTAATTCATAGTGGGGTAGGAAGAGGGAGCATGGGAGGAATAGAAGAACTCTAGATAGGGCAGAGGGGTGGGAGGGGAAGGGAGGGGGCATAGGGTTAGAAATGATGGTGGAATGTGATGGACACTATCATCCAAAGCACATGTATGAAGACACGAATTGGTGTGAATATACTTTGTATATAACTAGAGACATGAAAAATTGTGCTCTATACGTGTAGTAAGAATTGTAATACATTCTGCTATCACATATAAATTTTTAAAAACCAATAACCTAATCAATAAATGGGCTAAGTAAATGAGCAGACACTTCACAGAAGATATACAATTGATCAGCAAATTTATGAAAAAAATGTTCAACTCTAGCAGTCAGAGAAATGAAAATTAAAACTAAGATTTCACCTTATTCTAGTAAAATGGCAATTATCAAAAAAAATCAAGCAACAATAAGTGCTGGGAGGTTGTAGGGGGAAAAGTACACTGATTCATTCATTGCCTTTGGGATTGCAAATGGTACAAACACTTTAGAAAGCAGTATTGAGATACCTTAGAAAACTTAGAATGGAACCACCATTTGACACAGTCTATACCCAAAGGACAAAGCACACTACAGTGATGTAGCCACCTTAATGTTTATAGCAGCTCAATTCACAGTAGCTAAACTGTGGAAACAGCCTAGATGCCCTTCAATAGATGAATGGATAGAGAAACTATTCAGCCTTAAAGAAGAATGAAATTTTGGCAATTACGGGTAAGCGGACAGAATTGGAAAATATCAGGCTAAGCAAAGTAAGCCAATCTCAAAAAAAACAAATGTTTTCTCTGACAAGTGGATGCTGATCCATAATGGGTAGGGGGCAAGGGAAGAAAGGAGGAACTCTAGATTGAGCAGAGGGGAAGGAAAAGAGGGAGGGGAGAGAGGCGGGGAGGCGAGGGCAGGAGGAATGTATTGGGGGAAATCTTGGCCTTCTGTAGAAGTAAAAAAACTAACCTGAGAAATAGAAAGGAACCTGAGAAAATCCCATTATTTTACAAGAAAGAAATTTGAGCACCAACAGCATACAAGTGGACATTAGCTCCCACTCTGGTTATCAACTGCTGCATTACAAACCATCTAGAACATTCAGTGGCTTGAAACGAGCACATTAATTTGTTATCTGTTCTGGCTCTGGGCTCAACTAAGGTTCCCACAAGAGGCTCCTCACACATTTATAGCCAGGTGGGGCTGGGGCCAGAGTCGTCCTGGAAGCTTCTCCACTCAGGTCTGATGGGTGGGACCTCAGCTAGGCTGTCAGTCAGATCACCACTCCTGGCTTCTCCATTTGGCCTGGCCTTCTCACAGAATGGTGACCGGGTTCCAAGAACAAATGTCCCCAAAAGAACCAGGCAGAAGCAGTATCACCTTTTATGACCCAACCTGGTAAGTCACACAGCATCACTTAATCTGTAGTTATAGGCCCACCCAGACTTGAGGACACGGATGTAATTCTCCCTAGGAAAAATGGATATCACAGTGTGAGAAGACTACGTGGAGATGCTGTTGCTGCCACTCTGGAACACACACTTTGCCCTGAGGTTCTTCTTACATGATTCTGGAGGACCCTCTGTGTAAAGAGTTATCACAATGTGTGAAACTCTCTGCCTCTTTGTGATCCATCCCTTCCAGTAGAATATGAGCTCCTTTATAAGAGTATCAGGTTGTGACAGCAATCTTTGCATTCTTGGCACTTAGTAGAAGCTCAAAAAATGTTTAATTTGTTGAATCTATGAATAAAAAACTGAAATTCAGACTTCAAATCAGACATACTTAACTTAAAAATGTTTCTGAAGTATCTGAAAAATCTCTGTCTAATCTCTTAAGCTGGGTCAACTTAAAAGACTGTCAGGTTCTAGAACTATTATAATTTTAAGATTCATTAATAATACAGACTTCATCTTTTTTAATGCATGTTAAAATTTTTCAATACCTTTATGTAATTTAATGTTCTGCTGAGGATCAAACCCAATGCCTCACATGTGCTAGGCAAGCGCTCTACCACTGAGTTATAAACCCAGCCCCAATAATACTGACCTTATCTTTAATTAATAAGATTGCTACTAGCCAGGAGTAGTGGCACACGCCTATAATTCCAGCAGTGCAGGAGGATCACTAATTCAAAGCCAGCTCAGCAAATTAGTGAGGCCCTAAGCAACTCAATGATACCCTGTCTCTAAATAAAAAATAAAAAGGACTGGGATGTGCTCAGTGATTAAGCACCTCTGGGTTCAACTGCTGGTACCAAAAAGAAAGAAAGAAAGATTGCTACTAATTCAAACATTATATGCAACACCTTAAAATCTGTCAGCAACACAGAATGCTCGTCTTAATGCATATTCAGAATAACTTGAGGACTTAAGCTTTTCCTCAAAAGCAGTGGAGTATTTTATGACAAGCACCCTTAAAAGGAAATTTATGTGTAATACTACTGTTGCTAAGTATGCCAAATGAAACAGTTTAAGTGTAGTTTAAGTCCAAGAACTTAGTGTACTCAAGTGCAAACATACAATTTAAAGGTATTTTTATTCATAAATTATAGATTTTTACATCATGCTATTGGATGCAGCCATTCAAGCCTAAATTATCACCATACAATCAACTTATTTTCTTTTTCTTGTCAGCAAATATAACCAAGCTTAAATAAAATTACATAATCAAAACTTTAAAATTAGGCTATCGCCTGGCCTGAACAAGGAGCACATGTATTCAACACACTGAACCGCTTATTTTAAGAACACTGTGCCTTGTGGTACACCAACTGCAACAATTTCTCTACCACAGAGAAATAATCAGTGGATCACTCATCAGCCCTTAATCTGTGAGACCCCCTATAACAGTTTCTTTAATCACAGCTCTCACAAGGCATTATCACTAATCATGAATCTTGCAAACAACACCGACGTTCATCAGTGACACTTACCAACTACTATCTGACCACTCTTCATAGCAGACCCTCCTGGCGACAGGCCGTGGACCACAAGCTTCTCTCCATCGCCCTGCTTCCCACTTCTCCTCCAGCTCCACTTGGTCTGGTGGATAATTCCAACCAGCACTTCTAGAAGTCTGAGCTGTTCTTTGGCTTTTGTGACGGTGAGCTTTTTGGGATTCACATAAACATTCACATCTTTGTACTGCTGTTGGATAATGACTCCTGTCTTCTGATTGGACTGATGCTTTAGAATGGATACTGGCCCATTATCACTGCTATTTTTTTTATTGTTGCGCTTGGGTAAAAGTCTTTTACTTTTTAAAATTTTGGTAAATCGCTTGAGTTTGGGTTCACACTTTTTTCTTTCTTTGTAGTCATCCTCTTCAATGATAATCTCATTTTCACTGAACCTGACGTGGTTCACAGTTGGTGTCTCAGGAAGGAGGCTCTCCTCTTCACCCTCACTCAACTCCAAGTACAGCAGTTCTCCATTTTTCTGCACACTGTCCAGCCACTCAGGCTCCAGATCACTAGGAAACAGAGAAAAGATAATCTGGATGCAGCCCAACATATGAAACAGTGTCACCCTCCTAGAGGATGAGAATAGGTGTGGGATGTGGGAGGGGTGAATTTCATTTATTTCAAATTCTTCCGAATATTTCTAATTTACTGAGCATTAACACTATTTCCTGTAGAATGATTTTTGTAGAGTCTTGAAGAATAGGAGTTGGAGGAGAAGGAATTAAGAAGGTGCAGTGATAGGAAAGAAAACCCATATTTTAAAAAAAGAGATGGTCCTTTTGAAAAACCTACAGGATTTTTTAAAATAAATTAATTCAATTACTACATGGTTATTATTTGCTTTAGACAACAACCACACTGGACAATAATTTACTATTAGAATTTGTACTTGAAAATATTCTACATGCATAGAAGTTGTTAGCATGGCTATTAGGGGGAAATGAAAGCATACCTGCATTCATAGGTCATTTACACAAACATTTTTGAAAATTCATTTATGGACAGGAAGATGGCAAAAGTGAGCTAGGCAGCAAGTTCTGTCTCCTTACAAGGAGATGGCAAACGAAAAGCAGAATTGAGAGGTGAGCAACAAAATAAATGTTTTTAATATTAACCTATAGAAAATTATAGATTATCCAATTACTGGAATCACTGTTAATTTTCTGAGAATTTAATATTCTGATAATTTCTTAACAAACCAACAATTTCAGTCCATTATGTTCAATTGTCACATATATAGGACAGCTATAAAAAACTTAAATTGAAAAACAAATATGCCACTTATGGACACTTTAAAATAAATAATGTTTTTAACGTTATTTAAAAAAAATAGACTCAATATTACAAAGTCTGAGACATGGAAGATAGATTACCAGAGAAGAAAACAAACTCAGAGTCCCCTAACCCCAAAACTGAACCTGGGGAGGGAAGGGGGCACAGATAATCTCTTAAACTCACCCACTTAAAAACATTTTGGAAAGATAGACAAAATTTAAAGTGTGACGGTAACCAACCAAAGGCTCCTGAAGACAGAGCAAAGAGTTGAAAGCCAAAGTGTGAGAAGAAAACTGAGCTGTGGGTCCACAGTCATCCTGTGGAGCCCTCAGCTGACCATTCACCCCCTTAAATCAGACAGCTGCAAATCAAACCAGAGGGCAGTCCCCTACCTTGGGACCTTTTAATAATCTGGCCAGAAAGAACTTCCAGTCAAAATTCACTGAGCCTCTCCCCCCCCCCCCGCCCCATGAACGAGGGAACAACGGGGCTGGTGGGGACCTGTGGCAGGAGCTGTGCCTAACGCCGCTCAGCCTGTAAACCCCGGCCAGGGCAGAAGCTCCTGACTACTCCCCTGAGACACAGAGAAACAAAGCAGTTTAGCCCCCAGCAGAGGAAAGGTCACCAGGCCCTGTCCACTGACATTGGGGGAGGCACCAGGGGAAGCTTAGGGACAGGACCCAGGGTGGTGGGGCCGATCGGGGAAGCTGCCTTGTCGTGTCCTGCATGACAGTTTATCCAGGGCTACATGAACCGGCTGATGAGGGGATTAGGAAGAAGACAGACCAAAGTGGAGACAAGGCCAGGGCGCGGAGGTCCAGCCTGCCTCTGGTGGAGGGAGATGACCACGAGCAAGCTCAGTGCATCCACTACACAGGTTTGAACATCAGAAGGACGCATCGGGAGAAAGCTTCTTCAAGATAAACAGAGCAGAAGCTGAGGGTAAGAGCAGCCCAATTAGGGATCACTGGCTCAAGCCTATGATTCTCTCTCTACCTGTGGGCAGCAGGTGTTTGAACCCAAGATTGTGAACTAACAAAATTCTTTGGCTAGCAAGGGATTTTCCTTTGAACAGGGCATCGCCATACAACTGGGCAGTTTTCTCAGAATCTTTGTACCAAGAAAGTCTCAAGAGAAACATCACCCCTGTCTCTGGGCAGTTCAATGACTCATAATTCATTCACCACTCCCAAAATTGCCTGAGGTGGAAAATTACCAGAGCCTTCACAGAAAGAAGAGGCTGCCCCCTGCCTTAAGTGGCACACTGCCTGACCCATGATCACAAATGAAAACTGAGAAGGCATTGTTGGGCATTTGTGGACCTTGCATCAGACTTAGTAAATAGAGGGAATCAACACCCACCATTCACAACCGGGGGCAGTGGAAACAAGAGTCCAGGTGAACCACCTGACACCCTTCACTGCAGTATCTCACAGAGTGGCCAGCCAGAGGAGTATCCGTGCACCACAGAACACATGCAGAAAACCCACAACCAGAGTTCCTGTGCTCACGGCTACCAGGATCTTCCCTACCATGAAAAGGATTCTATAGAGAGGAGCAGATACACGATGACCCACAGCAAACACAGGGCGCATGAGAGCCTGCATCCTGAACTATGCCACACAATAGAAACAGCCAACTCACAACAGTGCGCCCTCCAAGCATTCAGCTGCAGGCCTCTGGGTTGACAAACCAGAAGCTGCTGTTGGAGGCTCATAAAAACTAGGGACGTGGCTCCTGTGGCCCTGCAACTTGTGAGAGATCCAGAACCAAAAACTGATGGACATCTGCTAAATGTCCAAACCTCAACGAAATCCAAACCAAAATTTAACAAGAATTTTCTTCACTTGACATGGTTTATTCCTCCCCCTTTTAGCCCTCATTTAAGGTAAGTTTATTAAATTTACCAACTAATTACTGACTTATTCCAAAGATTATTATAGGTTTACACCTGAACTTGAGTAAGTGTGGAGAACAACTGCAGTAAGTTTTTGTTTCTTTTAAGGTTGAGTATAAATAACAAGGCTTTGCTCTACAGTGATTATAGTCCACAGGGCTCAGTAGCATTTCTTAAAGTAGTGCTGATATCGAGATCACAACTTAAAATATCATTAGCTAGACATTCACCCAAACCAGGGCTCTTAAGAGAAAGAAGCTCACAAAGTAGTTCTTCGCTTAGAAGAAGTGAGAACTATACTGATGGATAGGTAGACATTAAACAATATGAAAAGCAAGGAGCCAAACCATCCCAAACAGTCCACAATGCTTGAACAACAGACTTCATTGACACTACAGTAGAGGGAATGCCAGAGAAGGAATTTAGAAAGTTCACAGTTAAAATGTTCTATGAGCTAAAAGAAATGTAAGAAGTGAAATCACAGGAAATATAGGAAGCAAAAGATCACTTCAATAAAGAGATAGATTCTGAAAAAGAACCAAACAAAAATCCTGGAAATAAAAGAATCAATAAACTAAATTAAAAATTCAGTGGAATGCACCACCAATAGATTAGACCACTTTGAAGACAGATTTTTAATCCTCAAAGACAAAGTACATAATCTTCAAAATAAAGCTGACCATAAAGAAAAGATGTTAAGACACCATGAACAGAATAGTCAAGAAATTTGTGATAACATCAAGAGGACAAATTTTAGAATCACTGGGGTAGATGAAGGCTCTAAAATACAAGCTAAAGGGATATACAATCTTTTTAATGAAATAGTAAAAGAAAAATTTAAGAATGAGATGGAAATTAAAATACAAGAGGCATACAGAACTCTCAATATACAAAATCTCAATAGTTCCACTCCAAAACACAATATTATGAAAATGTCTAACATATAAAATAAATATAAAATTTTTAAAGCTTCAGGAGAAAAATGGTTGGTCACACTGAAAGGTAAACCAATCCAAATTTCGAATGATTTCTCAACCCAGACCCTAAAGCCAGAAGGGCTTGTGATAATACACATGAAGCACTGAAAGAAAATGTGTGCCAACCAAGAATACTATATAAAGCAAAAATTAAACTTCAGAATTGAAGAAGAGATAAAAACTTCCATGATAAATGAAAGCGAAAATAATTCATAACTAGAAAGCCTATATTATAAAACATATTCACAAAAATATTTCATGAAGAAGAAATGAAAAAATAAAAATAAAAACCAGCGTACGGAGGAATTACATTAGAAAAGTCAATCAAAAAATAATGAAGTCCAATTTTAACATCAGAAATGAATGAAAAATGGCAGAAAATAAAACTCACCTTTTGATAACAACATTAAATATAAATGATCTAAACTCTTTAATCAAAAAATACAGGTTCACAGACTGGATTGAAAAACAAGACTCAACAAAAGCTGTCTGCAAGAAACTCACCCCACAGGCAAGACATCCACAGACTGAAGGTGAAAGGAGGGAAAAACATACAATTCACCTGGGACTCACTTTATCTGTATTCTTATATCAGATAAAGTGGACCTGAAGCGAAGACTAATCAAAAGAGACAAAAAAGGTCACTTTATACTTCTTACAGGAATCATACATCAACAAGATATATTGATTGTAAATACTTATGTCCCAAACAACTAAGCATCTACGTTCATCAAATAAATCTTTTTTTAATAATTATTTTTTAGTTGTAGTTGCACACAACACCTTCATTCCAACGTGGTGCTGAGGATCGAACCCATTCCATTTATTGATTTTTATGTGGTACTGAGGATCGAACCCAGGCCTCGCACATTCTAGGCGAGCGCTGTACCACTGAGCCACAACTCCAGCCCCAAATAAACCCTTCTTAACATTAAGAATCAAATAGACAACAATACAATAATAGTAAGTGACTTCAACATGTCTCTCTCCCCAATGGATAGATCATCCAAACAAAAACTAAGCTAAAATTCTACAGAACTAAAAAAAAATACAATTAATAATATGGACCTAACAGATATCTATAGAGTATTTTACCCACCAATGACTGAATTCACTTTCTTCTCAGCAGCATCTAGAACAGTTTCCAAAATACACTGCATTTGAGGTCTCAAAGCAAATGCTGGCAAACACAATAAAACAGAGATAATACCTTGCATTCTATCAGAAATGAAATTAGAAATAAATAAGATAAAAAACAGAAACCACTCTAACATCTGGAGATTAAATAATATACTTTTAAATAATGAATGGATAACAGAAGAAATCAAGGGAGAAATTAAAATAAAATTTTAGAGGTAAA